TCTCGAAGTAAGGGCTCTTATTCATCTTGACCAAGTCATCGGTTGGTCTGCTCTCCACTCCTTGCACCCAGGCGCGGGTCAGGCGAACAATGTACGTTGCTGGAGTCGGTGTGTTGGCATGCGCAACATATGGCCCAGACATCGGAGATTAGTGCGTGATATAACGGTGCTGAACAGTTCTCTCGTTCTTCCAGCAACAAGCACAAGAAAACGAACACGCTCGTTGCTCAGGCAGTGTTCCCACCAGATATCAGCTAAGCTGCGGAGGCAGCGATGCTCGAACGCAATAAGCCTCTTAAGTCTGTTGATCTAATAAGGCAAACTGCGCATACGTACAGGAGGGTTGAAATCACAGCTGCGTCATAAACTACCCTTCAGGGCGAGAATGATGTCGCGCCGGCACCACAAGTGGCAGAGATTGGTAAAAGCACTTCGAGGCATGAATGATTGCAGACAGTGAATCAGGGGAAGTCTGCCAAGATAATCTACATCGATTTCAGTAAAGCGTTTGAGAAGGTAAACCATGAGTTCCTCCTTCACAAGCTGAGAGCGTGTGATGTTGGTGGATCACTGCATCAGTCGATGCAGGACTAGTGGGCGAAAATGAAGGTACAAATCGATGGCCATCTAAGTGAATGGTGTCCCTCAGATTATGGAGTAACCCAAGGTATGGTACTGGGGCCAATCTGTTCCTAACCGATATTAACAAACTAACTCGCCTAACTAAGTCACTGTGCGTCGTATTTGCGGACGATCTGAAGATATGAAGAGTAAATCGCACCCGAGAAAACTGCGGCTTACCTAAGGAAGACCTTAACCGTCTCACCATGTGATCTGCGGAAGTCCGCCTCCCGATCAACCAATTCAAGTCGGTATTCGAGCTTGGGAAAGTTTAGTGACGGCCGAAGCTACACCATTGACTATCAACCGTTATATCCAACACCTTCCCTGAAGGAACTACGTGTACTCTTGCGCTTCGCTTTGAAGTCCGTTTGTGTCGCACTACCAGTGTGCAGTATGTGTGGAAACGAAGCGGTGCAAGAAAATCAGGGAAATCGTGGATCGCCGGACGAAGAATGCGTAGTGAAGAAATCTACCTCCGCTGCTACATTGTGTGTGATGAGGCGCAGCAGAACGACGAGTTGGAAAATTACCACGGGGTAAGTGCGCAAATTGGGCCTGAGTTTCCATGTCCGAACCGTTATACTATCTAGAGGTTGGCTCTCCAGCACATAACTCGTCTGCACCGCGTCGCTTTCTCAACACGTTAGCACCACGAACAGGCTATATCGTAACGGACTGAACATGCTTTGAACGATCAAAAGGAGTTACTTTACTTGGTCTGAAGTGGTCACCACTCGCATCTTCTCTTCCATCATACGACCGATGCTTAGTTACAGCTCAATTGCTTACTGTCCAATCACCTGATGCGAGGCACAGAAGATCGAATGAGTCCAACACGTCGCTGGCAGGCTCATTCCAAGTTTACGAGGATTACGTTACAAAGACCGGTGCGCGAAACTAGGACTACACACCTTGTCCATTCGTCGGGTGTGAGTAGATCTTATCATGACCTACCGTATATTACATCTTGGTGACGTCGCCATGTTGAGGCCGTTGCTTTACTTGCGAAGGCTAAGCAGCACACAAGGACACGGGTATAAGCTTGTGGTGCCGGATATAAAACGAGTACCCCACTCCCTGTGCTTCGAACGGAGAGTGGTAACGTTTGGAACAATCTGGCAGAATAAGTCCTAGAGGCCAAATCTGTGCATCAGTTCAAAATGCTATTGGATTTACATTGCACCTCCATTCGATTCAGGGAACCAGTGCACACTGGCGATAAACACAGTGAAACTCTAAGTCAAGCATTTTTAAATGCTACATAAGAACTCGAAGAACAATTAGATTATCACGTATAGCGGATTCGTTTTATAACATTTTTAATTATGTTGCGGTGGTTGTGCAGATTAAAAACTCATACAATAGATTATTTAGTGTTCACAGATAACAGTAATGTCGGCGACACACCGCAATTCGAAAAGCCGTTCACCCGGGAACAGCTCCACACATAACTCGTGTCCAGTGAATGCAGTTTCCATGGCTTGGTAGACAGTGAATTTAGAGAGGTGACGTTGGGTAACTTTATCTCACATCGCTGGAAACATGGAACAGCGGTGACAGTACTGAAATTTTTGCAACAATTGAGGTAAAAGAATGGATGTGATCTATACAGTCACGATTTCGATGAAACCTGGCTAGCTCTTCAAGAATCCGGCTTTCAAGGGTAACAGTGAATTTGTGAGGAACGACAGACTAGAAACTAGACCAGAATGATAACCCTGACGTGTGCCATCCATGGAGATCAAGCAGATAACGGAGCTGCTCCGGTAAGTCCGGACAGTTCCCTGCTATCAAAGGTTCACTAACAGATCGGGTAAACCATCCACAACAGCAATTCCACCGAATTTGATGGAACAATGGTATATAGTGGGTAAAAAGTGGATGATTAACAAGTCCCGTAGGATGGCCGGAATACGAAGCATAACACAGTGAGAAGAAAACAAAGCGATAAAACGAAAATCGCTGTGATGGACTAGCCAGTGTTCACACAAAGGCATGCAGGAAAGAACCGACATCAATTGTGTAGGTTAGTGCAGGCTGTGCAACGTTCGTCCCATTGTATCGTCCGTCGATATAAACAGGCTGTATCTCGAAATGTAGGTGTATTAGGGAAACGTCAAAATGTTTTTTAAACAAAGAGTACGTGGGGGCTTAATTTGGGAGGGCGTTCAAGGCAGGCAGACACGAAGAGAGCAAAAGTTCCGCCGATATTCTAGCCGACTGTATTGCGCGGGCAACTTGAACTGGTGACCCTTCAAATTCGTGTAGTAGGTGGCAGCAGAAGTGGTCAGGGTTCCTTAAAATCTGGTAGGCTAAAGTTAGATTACCACGTAGGCGCCGATACCGGCCACTGTACAATCTTTGATTTGAAAGATGGAACAACGCTTTTAGGTGCTTTGTGGCCGTACGCTGTGGGGTCTCGATCTTGTTTGTGCCAAGGCTGCCAGGCTTGGATGGCGTATCCCACTTGAGGCCGAAAGTGTTGTGCTAAGCAACTGCGAACAGATAGACAGATCGAACTGCCCGAACATCCTCCGCAGTAGGCCAACATGGTTTACAGTTTTTGACACATTTTCAGTTTTATAGTACTCATGAGTAGCAGGATTTTAGTTATAAATCTGATAAGGCTTTCATCCCAACAGTTCATAAGCTACATAGCAGAGCCTAGTCCGGAAAAGTGCCAGACGCGTTTCGCCCTATTGGGACTCGTCAGTGGCGCGCATTCCCTCGGTCCTCTAAGGAGGATCGAACCCATGACCGCTAGAGGCAGATGTCAGCTAGCCAGCAGCTTAAGCCACTGAGCCATGGGGGACGTTGGCCGGGCTACATAATTTGCAAACTAGCTGGGATATAGTACCACCTATCTACCACTGTCACTGACAGTGGTTAGCCTGCGAGGTGATGACGTCCTCTCACTAGACGCTATATCTATAGCATTTGAAACTAGGAGAGGCTATATTTATTTCAGTTTGTTCTGAGCAACTCAGAGTAGCCTGGATTAATATATTCCAAGGTAGCGCTCCTGGGTGGATGCTTGCGGGACATGATCTTTAAGCTTGTATATGATGTCCGATTGGTGAGGAATGTGGACCGTCCTACACTTTCACGAATTATACTGGGGCAGATTGCAGAGTGATCACTCATACACTCTGTCCAGGTCTCGCTGAAGTGCATCGTGATCGCCCGCCAGTTGTTAACATAATCCGCAAAAAAACGAACCCGAGGCAATAAAACGCGTAAGAAACAGACGCGGCCCCAGAAGTGACATTTTTGGAAGTTCGAATTAGACATGAATCGCAACAAAGAACGCACTCCGAACTATAACATGAAAGTGGCCGATAGTGCAAGAAATTCCTGATCGATCCAAGGACGGGAGCCTCAGCTCAATAGCTTCCAAACCTGTGAAGCAGAGTGTGGTGGTACAGTCGGCGAAGGGCTTTGGAGAAGTCGAGGTGAATGACGTCCATCCTTCTGCCTTAATCGGCCACTTCCGTCCAACTACTGCGTGCAATTAGTAGACGTACACGTATGGTGCTAACGGAAAAGGTGCTGCTCTGGTCGTTTGATGCTGTGGCGTTCCAGATGATCAACTGAAGCCTCAGCGATAATTGTCGCCATCACCTTCGAGAGTACGGGAAGAAGGATCAATGGGCGATAGTTTGCGTGCTCCGAGAAATAGCCGTATTTGAAAATTGGGAATGAGTAGACTAGGTTTTCAAATGATAGGCACGATTTGTTCATCCAAGTACGTTCGGAAAAAATTCGATAATGGCTAAGACTATGTTTGAAAAGCACGGTAAGAAGACGAAAACTGGTAGATGCATGCATTTCGTATTGTCTCCTCAGTACCATTAACAATAACCGGTATGCAACTATATACTTAAATATGTGTGTGACCGAATAAGCATGGGGTGCAAAATGAGTGACGGAAGTTCCACCCCTATGTCCACGGTAGTCTTAAGCTGATAAATAATTGCTTTTGAACACACAGGGCCGGCTTATCGCAACGGCCTCGGCGAAACGGAGGAAGCGGGGATTAGGGTGACGTAATACAAGTGTGAACGCTGATCCAAGCTCTATCCGGTGACGCGTAGTCAGTAGGTGTTTACCTATTGAGGAAGCTGGCGGCTTGCGCAAGCACGGAACTTCAGTGGGACAGGGATGCTGGTCAATTTCACCTTGAACCCACCTTGGCACATGTTCCTTTATTCGGGAAGTCAAAGACCGATTGGTTCTGCCTATGTAACTGTTTCCGCAGTCGCACACGAATTTGTATATGCAGTGTGAGTTGGCCCCTATCGGTTGAGCTTCCTTCGTTTCTCTACGCCATGGCTCCGAAAGTTGTCTCGTGTTGGTCTGCGTCTGCTTATCTTGACATGTCTGGTCGCGGCAAAGGTGGCAAGGGTCTGGGCAAAGGAGGAGCCAAGCGGCATCGCAAGGTTTTGCGTGACAACATCCAAGGCATCACGAAGCCGGCAATTCGCCGTCTTGCTCGTCGTGGCGGTGTGAAGCGTAGCTCCGGTCTGATCTACGAGGAGACCCGCGGTGTTCTCAAGGTGTTTCTAGAGAACGTGATTCGCGACGCTGTGACGTACACGGAGCACGCGAAGCGTAAGACGGTGACAGCTATGGATGTGGTGTACGCACTGAAACGCCAAGGCCGCACTTTGTACGGTTTCGGTGGCTAGAGAAAAGAACTGACCACCAGGTCCGCACGAGAACGAGTACTGAGGAGACAATACGAAATGCATGCATCTACCAGTTTTCGTCTTCTTACCGTGCTTTTCAAATTTCTGAAGGGAACTAACTGCTTTAAATTTCTCAAACGACGAATTCCCGCTGAAACTATCAAATTGCTTCATCGTATAGTCAGCCTAAGGTGCAAGATCGTATGCGCACGTGCGGAAATATCCTTTCTTAGGAAATGTCTT